ACAAAAAACAAAAAATAAAAAATAAAAAAAGACCTCATTTTCTAATTATTTGGAGCTGCTGCATTTTGCTGTTATTTCTCTTTCTACACCACCTCCACTTAAATATTCTACCCCCTTCCACTCAACCTTCTATGTCCAGCACTGTTAGATATCACATGCATCCCCATTATGGCATTGATGTAGTCCTATATCCGTAAAAGCATATATCCACCAAGACCATGCTACCTACAGCAAAGCCTATAGGCCTTTCAGCAAATAAATTTTGTGATTACTTATCATGATTACGTTTGAGATATGATTCTTTCATCACTTTCAACAAAGCAAGTCGTACAGAGTTCATTGACCAACAAGATAGGTGTTCCTTGACTAGTGATAGCAGGACAAATATGCAAAGCGCTAGGACAATCTCAATCAGCAGGCTGTCATGAAATTAGAGTCTTCAACACTTCCATCCCCCATGCATGTGTGTGTCATGTAAAAAAATTAACTCAAGTTCCCACACATGTTTGGGGAAAAACGGTAACAAAACAAGTTCCTTCTCTCTCTCTCTCTCTCTCTCCCCCTCCCCCCCCGGGGGGGTCCTTTTTTCGTCCAAAGAGAAGTGAATAGATTATAAATTGCCTTACTGTTACATTGGGGTATCTAAGAAAACAATACACCACCAAAACATAGACATACCTTAGGAGGCTTAAAAGGATAATCAGGAGGAAAATGAATGGAAACTAGAAATACTCCTCCTGTGTAAGGGCTATCCGCAGGCCCCATGATTGTTGCTTGCCAATGGAACATATCCTCAGCAACAGGACCTATTTCACCAAAATAAGCACTGATGTTGAGTATACAAAATTCAGTCCAGGACAACTTTGTTGAAAACACTGTGAAAAGGAGTTGCAAACTGTCGCACACAAGAAGAAATAAACAAATAACAGAAAACAATCAATGTTACGATGGTGAAGCCAAATAGTAAGCATAGAACCATTTCAAAACCCCAAAATCCCATCCATCAATTAGTGGACAATAATAAGAGATGGTATACCAACTCCAACTCAATAATCTATTATTAACATACCCACGGAGTATAACCATGTTACCAAGTCCTTTAGCACAATTCAACTGTCAACCTAACATCTGCCAAATTTGATTAAGTTACAGAGAGACACAGAGACATCGAGAAAACTTGATCAAATGGCACACTAAAACCTCTACCAGCTTTAACAAGTGAGAGGCATTCAAACTACGTGATATCCAAAGTAACTAAACCAATACTTCAATAGATGGATCATAAAAATGTAGAAGTGCTTTCAAAAGTTTTATTCTCCCTTGCATCGTACACAAACACATAAAATTGAAGCGGTGAACAAAAATCCAAACCCAAGCAAAAAAATCTCTACATAAATACCTATAAACACACATCTATAGACAACAGAGAGAATATGAAGTGTTTACCGGCACTGCACGATGTAGGAGGGTCCTTCTGTAAATCCTTGAGCTCCTTCAAGATACGTTTCGACGCCATAAGTACAAGGACCCCCTCAGGTCTTCAAATCAAGGCCCTGACGAAAGATACAGGAAAAATTAAATCAGTGGCAGCAGATCGTGAGCCAAACAAACAAGAATCAGCTAGATCATCACAAATAACACGCCGACGAACAAATTTAATCAATCACACAACACAATTCAAGATCTAACTGAAATTTCATATCACAAGAACCCTAGAGTCGTTCCCGACCTCATGTATGCAAAAAAAACAGATAAATATAAATAAATTTAGAGAGAGGGAGAGAGACCTGGCGGAGAGAGGGAGGAGAGGGGCGGAATTCAGAGAATGTAGCGGAGAATGCAGAGAAAGAACAGATTGAGAGCCAATCGTCTCAAGAGGCTTATAATATATCTGTTTTTTNAGCGGAGAATGCAGAGAAAGAACAGATTGAGAGCCAATCGTCTCAAGAGGCTTATAATATATCTGTTTTTTTAAATTATTTTATTGGGTGAGAAAAGGGCTAATTACTTAGAGCAGAGTCACGCTATCTTCTAGAGCTTTCTATTAAAGTCGTAGTTGGCGTACAATCGACGGCCCTTTGTCTTTGTTCGTTGCCCGCGTTCGACGGTTTTTTTCTTTTTTTGTTCAAACACTGCAAAGGAAAGGGGAAAGTAAGATCCAAACCGTGATTTTAAAGTGGGAAAGTAACCGCNTTCTTTTTTTGTTCAAACACTGCAAAGGAAAGGGGAAAGTAAGATCCAAACCGTGATTTTAAAGTGGGAAAGTAACCGCTATCCTCATGTCGAACGAATTAAGTTGTTCAGGTCTTGCAACGATTATACCACATTAATAATATTATAATTCAACAAAATCACACCAAAATTTGATAAAGTAAAATTTATCAACTTATACGAGTGGTTATACGATTATACGTAGGGATAGTAGTTTTTTTTTTTTTGATCAAAACAGTCACATTGGTCACATTTCATTAAATAGGAAAATTCGAATTACAGTCAATTTCAATAAAAGCCTTAAGCTCTAGAGGTGGATACCCAACTCATCCCTAGGGAAGGGAGTTGTGCATCATAGCAGATTCCACCCAATAAGCTGTCTTTAAATTAGCTCTAGGCTTGTGTAAAAAATTAATATTATGTAGTCTAGCCATGTACCTAATATCTTCCATCACTGTGTTGATTTTCCATGGGGGACGTTCTCCATAGCGCTCAACTTGATCGCAATAAGGCAGTCGCTCAAGATTGTTGCATTCTTTATTGAACAAGCATCTACCATGACACAGACATGCCAAATAGCAACTGCTTCAGCAACCAAACTTGAGTTAGCAAAAAAAGCTTTTGAGGTTCCATCCATCAGACCTCCTTTAGGATTGAATATAAGCACTGCACTTGCAGCTTCCTTAGTTCTCTTCTTAAATCCTCCATCACAGCAAATCAGGATCCCCGAACTCTGCTGTTGCACCATCTCCACATTACTCATAGGAATCGTTTGTTTCTCTGCGCAATACATATCTTCCAAGATGAGAGACTCAGTCCACGACCCTTTCCCTTTTAGAACTGTTCCATATGCATTTGGGGGCACATCATTGAAAATTTTTTGGTTCCTTTCTTTCCATATAAACCATCCAACTATTGTTATCCTTCTCAGTACCTTATTTCTCCTTTGAGGCTCATTAACTACTTCCAGAACCTGGGAGGTACGTTGGGCAATTGACATAAACCCCCCCCTGTTTCACCTTAATAGCCACATCCATACCAAACCACACTCCTCTAGTCCATTCGCATTCAAAAAGGAGGTGTTCAACAGACTCAGGGGCACGCATACAAATTTTACATGCTGGAGAAGGAGCACACTTTCTCTTGTAGAGGTTCTTTTGGGTTGCTAGGATGTTGTGACATGCTTTCCACCAGAAATGTTTCACCTTAGGCACTGCCTGCATGGTCTATATTGTCTGCCACATCTTTGGGTGGGGGGAAAAGGAGGAGCTTGTCTCTCTTGGGCATGTGTCTCTGGCAATCCCTAGCTTGTACCCTGATTTCACCTTGTATTCCCCCTTTTGATCAGGCCACCAAATCCTCGTATCCTTACCACCTTTTGCTGGGATTAGAATAGATTGAATGGGTCATAATTCTTCCCTTGAATTTTTGCCCTAGAGTGACTGGGAATCCCATTCAAATGACCTTTCTCTTGTAGCATTAGTAACCTGGGTAATCAGACTANGCATGTGTCTCTGGCAATCCCTAGCTTGTACCCTGATTTCACCTTGTATTCCCCCTTCTGATCAGGCCACCAAATCCTCATATCCTTACCACCTTTTGCTGGGATTAGAAAAGATTGAATGACCTATAATTCTTCCCTTGAAATTTTGCCCTAGAGTGACTGGGAATCCCATTCAAATGACCTTTCTCTTGTAGCATTAGTAACCTGGGTAATCAGACTGTCTTGTGTCTTGGAGACTGTACTTTATGCTCTGCTAATTGGGGGATCCATTTGTCATCTCAGAAATTTACTTCATTCTCATCCCTTATTTGCCACATCAATCCTTTTTCAAGGAGTTCTCTTCCATGTAGGAGGCTACACCAAATCCAAGAGGGTCTGGCCCCTCGCTTAGCTTTTAGAAAGTCCTCATTGGGGAAGTAAATGAATTTGATGAACCTTGCCCAAAATGCATCTGGTTGGCTAATAAGTCTTTAGCGTTGTTTCGTCAATAACACTTGATTGAACATATTAAACTCTTTAAATCCCATTCCTCCAACATCTTTCGGTTCCACCATCTTCTCCTAACTTTTCCAGCTGATTCCCTTGCTTCCTTCCCCATTTTTCCACCAAAAATTCCTAATATGTCCATTAAGTTGATGGCAGAAGCTTTTTGGGAGCTCCACCACTGACATGATGTAATTGGGAATGGCTTGGACCACCGCTTTGATCAGCACCTCTTTTCCTGCTTGGGACAACAGGGTACTTCACCATCCTTGGGAGCTTTTTCACTACCTTCTCAAGGATGTAGCCAAAGATCTCCTTCCTCGAACTGTTCCACCCAGTAGGAATCCCCAGCAAACTGCATATAGATATTTTTTGTTCTGATACAGCGTTGGACGAGAATATAATACCTGATTTCTGATAATTGGTACTCTGACTTGATGCATCACAAAATCTCTTAAGAATTCTGATAAGTTCCAGCAACCCCTTTTCCTTTGCCTTGATAAAAAACAATGAGTCATATGCGAAGAACAGGTGGGAAATAGCTGGGCTCCTCCTCTTTACCTTTATCCCCACAAATTTTCTTTCTGCCGCCCCATTGTTTAGTATCGAGGAAAGCACATCAGCAACAATAATGAAGAGATATTGGGATATTGGGTCTCCTTGCCTAATCCCTCTCTGGGGTTTGATATCACATTTTCTTTCCCCATTGAATAACACCTTGAAGGATACAGTTCTTACACATTGCATAACAAGATTTACCCAGTGGCTGTTAAAGCCTATCTTAAGCATGGTTGCTTCCAAAAAATCTCATTCCACACGATCGTATACTTTACTTATGTCCATTTTGATCGTTATTTCAGGCACCCTTCCCTTTTCATTGCCTTTCAGATAATGGAAGATTTCATTAGCAATCATTATGTTGTCCTGAATCTACCTATTTGGAACAAAGGCCACCTAATTAGGGGAGATTATAGTGCCCAAAATCCCCTTCATTCTATTTGCCAAAATTTTTGAGATGACTTTACATAGGAAATTACAAAGAGCTATCGGTCTGAACTAACCAATTTCTTCAGGGGCATTCTCTTTTGGAATAAGAACCAGGTTGGTTGAGTGGAGCTCATCCAGCATTTGCCCATCCTCAAAGAATTTTCTCACCATGCTAGTCACATCAAGTCCCACAATATACCAAAACTTATGATAGAAAACCTCCGAAAAACCATCTGGGCTCGGGGCTTTGAGAGAGCCCAATTGGCAAACTGCCTCGTGCACTTCCTTCTCTGTGATAGGCATTATTAGGTTCTAGTTCATCTCCTCCGATACTCTGTCTTGTACTAAATTCAGGGTTTCCTCAAAATCCCTCACCCCAGCTGTGGTAAACAGCTTTTGGAAGTACTCCTCCATGAGGTCACTAATCACCTCCTCCTCTTCCACCCACTCTGCATCATCATTTCTGAGTTTAATGATTTGGTTTCTTTGTCGCCTCTGGATAGTAGAGAGATGAAAGAATTTGGTATTTTGATCTCCTTCTTTCAACCATTTAATTCTAGATCTTTGCATCCAGAATTTTTCATCCCTGCTTGGAAATCCATCCAATTGAGAGCATAACTCCATTTCCTTCCTCAAATTTTCCTTTGATGGGGCCTGCATTTGGACATTTCTTAGCTCTTTATCTAGCTCTTATGTTAGCTTCTTGTTATTGCCAAACTTTTGTTTGCTCCAAGCAGCCAGTCTGGAACTACACATTCGCAGCCTGTTGACAGCATCGGACATGGAAAGGGTTGTTTCCCTATTGTTCCAAGCCTCCTTAACCACCTCCTCACAATCAAAATCTTCCAGCCACATGAACTCAAACTTGAAATAATGAAGGACTCTTCTTTTTATCCAGTCCCAAACTAATAATGATAGGACAATGATCCGATCCAACTCTAGCTTCAGGCAGCACTTTCATGGAGGGGAAAAAGGTTAACCAGTCTGCTCCTAGTCTATTGTTGGACCATGTAAATTTCGGCCCCTTAAAATTCGTGTCCATCAAATTACAATCCGAAATGACTTGTTGTAATTCTTCCATCTTCTTTGAGCTACTTGTAATTCCCCCTTCTTTCTCATCCAACTATCCTATCACCTTGAAGTCACCAACCACCATCCATGCCCTTGAATTAAAACTGGTCATTGCCTTCAATCTCTGCCATACTTTTTGCCTCTTCTCATAATCTGTATATGCATAAATGAAGGAGCACCCCCACTCCTCAGGGACATGAAGACAGCTGCACTTGGTATCAATCATGTACTTGTTCTTGGAATTCATCTGAAGCTTAACCTCCTCCTTCCACCAAAAGGCCAATCCTCTCGAAAGACCCACTGGTTCCACATACTCGCTTTTACCAAAGTTTAAGGATCTTCTCAATCGTTCCAACTTTGGCGACTTGTTCTTTGTCTCTATTAAGAAGACGATTGAGAGACGATGGGATTGTATAGCCCCTCGCAAGCTACGAACTGTCCGGGGTCGTCCCACTCCCTAACAGTTCCATGTGAGGACTAACATGGGGGGTGTGGTTGTTTGAGGTCAGCCACCACCACCACCTTTTCCAAATCTTCAGTTGGGGGATCCCTATTTGGTTCAACGTTAGGGGGTTGAGCAATCCACTAAGACATGCATCGATCTTAGTCGTTTTCTCCTTCCCCCCCCCTCTCTCCCTGCCTGGGCCTGTAGTTGTTGTTCCTCCTACTCTTCCATATATTCAAAGTAGAGTTCCGAGTGGGTTTTTATTTTTGGTCCCCTATTTTTCTTGGCTTTGCTCCTTCTTTGTTGATTCTTAGATCTCTACAACTCTCCAGAGTCAGGTAGGGACAGGTGTAGGTCCAATGGGTGGCCCAGTTGGGGTATCACTTGTGGCGCCTCCCTGGCCCCAGCCCTAGCGTTTGTTTACCCTTTTTTCTGCTCCTTGACTGGGTTTCCTGATCCACGGCCTCCTCTTGGGCTTTCCTCTTAAGTGACATATTTTGGAAATGGAATTCTATCTCTTCCCCTTTTTCCTTATCATTGTTGTTTGAAAGCATCACAATTTCCTTCCCTTGGACACTTGGGCCTCCATGTTCTCTGTGGGCTCACAAATATAATATTCTCCTCTCTTTCCTGCAACCAAATTTTTCGGGTCCACATGTGATCCAGATAGAGAGAGGGACAAAATGTGGTCCCAAACTAGTTCTTCCTCAACGAAAGGAATAACAGAAAGTAGTGGGACCTATTTTTGGGAGTCGCTTTCCTGGTGCTGCAATCCTTGTGCAGAGTACGTGCTTTGAGGACTTAGCACATTCCCTCTGTTGTCGTAGTGGATTTCAGGTTCTTTTTCAGATTGTACCTTAGTACTTTTTGGGTCATCCCTCTCCGTCGTTTCATCTTCTTCTCCAATGACTTATGTCTTCCCTTTGAGCTTCTCCCTTCTTCCCAGATTCTCCCTTGTCTTTAGGGACCATGTTTCCCTGAAGAAGCCTAGTGAATGGCTACTATGTGCTCTCGGATCAGGACCAAACTGACCATTGGAGCCCCAGATGCGTTTTTCCTTGCACTGACTCTAGGAATGGCCAATCCGCCCACATTGATAGCAGAAGTCGGACTGTCTCTCATATTTCAGGGTGATCCAGATATCATCCTAATTATCCTATGTCAAGAAGAAACCTTGCTTCAATGGGTCATTCAAGTTGATTCTGCATTTTACCCTTAAGAAATTTCGTTGGAACTAAAAATCTCCATCAAAATCTTCCAGCTGAGTTAGTTCTCCAACAACCAAAACCAATTCTCCAGGCATTATTCTTTGTCATCATATCCAATGGTAGACCCCAGACTTGGACCCAGAATTCTGTCAGCTAAAAGTCAAAATCACTTATAATAAATTGTGGTTG